ACACCTTATTTTTCTATTCCTAAATTCGAATCCTCCGGTTGTCCTTATTAATCTGTCGAAGGGTATGACAGGTTAAGATGCACATGCTCAGACGGCCAAACCTACAAAAGATAGGATGATGTTCTGCTTGCAAGGCAGAACTCGGAATGCACATTATATAGCCAATGTCAACATGTGACACCGATCTTTGATTCCGCTACGTGGACTCTCTCACCTTCTACTGCAATATCGGGATGTCTTCTCTAGGGGCCCATCGCTTAGCCTACTCAGCCTTCGCTCGGCCGCTGACCCGGGGCAGCTGTTCTCTTACTTTTATAGTAAAAGTAAAAGTTTTGCATATAATATTTATTCATTTTTTTTTAAATACCTGTTTAGCACATTTTTCGTTTTTATTACCTATGTTTTTAATTTTAATTAGCCTATCATTATACACGTATTACTATTAATATTTTAAGGTAAATTAATAGCAGGAGTTGTTTTTATATAATACTGGTTAGTGTCACGGCGCTGGCGGACCACTACACTACTAGGCTATATTCTAAAAGAATACAGGTAACTGAAGCTGGCAGTTCGATCGCTCAAGTGGTCTTATATAGTTTGTTATAGAAAAGGCACCCGAGCGCATTCCGTAACAATTAGAACGTTCTAATTAATAATTATTATTATATGTTATTAAGTTTACACAAAAGTAATTTGCGGAATTATAATTAGGATATTGATTGTGGCTCTATGACAGGCTAAGGTGCATATGCCCAGACGGCCAAACCTACAAAAGATAGGACGATGTTCTGCTTGCAAGGCAGAACTCGGGAATGCACACTATATAGTCAATAATCAACCTGTGACACTCTTATAGCTTTGGAGAATTTGTTATTTATAAATATTTCGAAGGCGAAGGCGCGCTTATTAATTAAAATATTTTTTTTTTGTTTCTTTTCTTCTTTAGCAGCAACAGCTATAATTTACTATTATTTGGTAGAAGTGTCACGGCGCTGGCGGACTACTACATCACTAGGCTATGTTTTAAAAAGATACAAGTAACCGAAGCTAGTAATTCGGTTACTCAAGTGGTCTTATATAGTTGTGATGGTAGTTGAGAGGCACAATTGCAAAGCTGCCATCACAGAAGTAGCAGTTATAATAAAGTAAATTAGTAACTTTTCTACGTTTAATTATATTTGTAGTAATTAGGTTTTTTTTATTAGGTCTATTTTTAATAAAATTTAATGTGACGGAGATAGTACGGTTAATACAGGTATTAATTATATAGTTTAATTAAAGTTTTATAAAGAAGAAAAAGTCTATTTAAAAAACGGCTCTACTGTAGGAGCGAAGTTTTAATATAGGCGGCACTATTATAGCTACGGCGCCACATGTCAGCACTGGCCGTAGATGTGACAAGGGCAGTATTCCT